ACCGAGACTCCCTGCTTCCCATCCATAATCTGATTCATTGACTGCAGAGCCAAGGAGTGATCAGCAAGACATGCTCACCCTTTAACAGTCCCACATGGCCAGTGCGAAAGTCTAATGGAGAGTGGAGACTAACAGTAGTCTACTGTGGCCTGAATGAAGTCACGTTGCCACTGAGTGTGCCGGACAGCATGCCACATGCTTACAATGGTGGAAGCAACCACTGGATGGCTGGAAACATATCCAGTGCCCCATGCCACTGCCAGGAACACCATCCTGGGCCTTGAAAAGCAAGTCTTATGGCGACATGGCACCCAGAAAGAATTGAGTCAGACAATGGAACTCATTTCTGAAACAACCTCATATAGACACTTGGGCCAAAGAGCATGGCATTGAGTGGGTATATCACATCCCCTACCATGCACCAGCCTCTGGGAAAATCGAATGATACAATGGACTGTTAAAAACTACACTGAGAGCAATGGGTGGAGGTCATTCAAACATTGGGACGCGCATTTAGCAAAAGCCACCTGGTTAGTCAACACCAGGGGATCTGCCAATCAAGCTGGCCCTGCCCAATCAAAACTTTTACATACTGTAGAAGGGGATAAAGTCCCTGTAGTGCACATAAAAAATATGCTGGGGAAGACAGTCTGGGTTGTTCCTGCCTCAGGCAAAGGCAAACCCATCCATGGGATTGCTTTTACTCAAGGACCTGGCTGCGCTTGGTGGGTAATGCGAAAGGATTGGGAAGTCTGATGTGTACCTCAAGGGGATTTGATTTTGGGTGAGAATAGCCGATGATTTGAATTGTATGATGTTAATTGCTATATAATACTGTACGTCATCACTTCTATGGTTGCTATATGTCATATCAACGATATCACAGTAAGAATCACCCAGATTAATGAAGAATGAACTTTGCACCGAGCAAAGTGCAGCAGCGATGGAACCAGAACTGGCTTCAGCATGCAACAATCCAACACCACCCACCATCTCTCCTACCCTGAAGGACTGTCATGACAGATGGAGCCCAAAGTCATGGACTAAATGAACTCAACGGACATTTTAGAGGAATGGCCCATAGACTTGAGTAATGATATCTGTGTGTATATATCAAAAGACAGGAAAGGTGGTGGTGGTTAATTGGGATGTACTGGAAAATGTGAGACCTGGGCATGACGTAGATGGTATCCAATAAGGGGTGGATATTGTCCTGGTGTTGGCTGGGATGGAGTTAATTTTCTTCCTAGTAGCTGGTACAGTACTGTGTTTTGGATTTAGGATGAGAATAATGTTGGTAACACACTGATGGTTTAGTTGTTACACTAAGTCAAGGACTTTTCAGCTTCTCATACTGCCCTGCCAGCGAGGAGGCTGCAGGTGGACAAGAAGTTGGGAGGGGACACAGCCAGGACAGCTGACCCAGACTGGCCAAAGGGATATTCCATACCATATGCCATCATGCTGAACAGAAAACTGGGGAGGTTGGCTTGGGGGGTGGGGCCGCTGCTCGGGAACTGGCTGGGCATGGGTCAGTGGGTGGTGAGCAATTGCACTGTGCCTCCCTTGTTTTGTGTATTCTTTTATCATTATTATTATTTTCCCTTCCTTTTCTGTCCTATTAAATTATCTTTATCTCAGTCCACAAGTTTTACCTTTTTTCCGATTGTGTCCCCCATCCCACTGCAGGGGAATGAGCGAATGGCTGTGTGGTCTTTAGCTGCCTGCCGGGTTAAACCACGACAGGAGCATACACACTGAGATAAGGCAGTAGCTGCCTAACCTCTTCAGCTAATTCTCTGTATACGTCTTCTTCCTTTTCCTTATTGCTTCTATAGACTGTGGGAAATAAAGAGTTCCTATTTATTGCTGCTATATCTCTAGTGCCTCCTGTTTTCTCACATAATTTAAAATAAGCTCAATTTGTAGGAGTAGGCCAAGATGAGAGTGAGTAAGTTTGAGTGCTGAAATTCTCAGAAACTAGAGGAGTCTGTATTTTGGGAAGTCTCACAAAATTTGAGAGAAGATGGCTAGAGCAGTGCATGGCTATAATAACTATGTTAAAAAATCTGCTCAAATTGAAACTTTTGACTTTCAACACACTCAGGGCAGTCTTTCATTAATTCTTTACCAAATTCTGTTTCCCTGAGTATGCACAGATATTTTCTTTTCCCGTGGAAAGTCAAAAGTCAGATTTAAGATAATATTCAGACCTAAAGCCAAGTACGTCTCCAGATTCTGGGTACTTAGTAAGCTGGCAGCATTTAAACCAGAACTTGGAAGCAGACTTTTTTTTTTCCTTGTCTTAAGCCTACAGTCAAGTTGGTAAAGGCAAGCTGAAAACCTCACAGCTTTCATTGCATAACATCTGCAAGTTGAAAGGGATCCAGTTCTGGGAATCTGTGTAATCCTGATGTAAGCTTAAAACTTCGCCTTTGAAGGATGCTTCCGAAGGGAAGGGAACTTGGCTGTGAGATCACTGTGTTTGGGGTTTTTTTGTGTCCAAGCTGGTGAAAAGTAAATATCAGAAGCCACTAGCGCTGTTTCACATGCAGATGGCATCAACGTTAGCTGTCTTCTAAAAGTTTGCATCTGCTAGTACTGAGAAGCTGTACTTCATCTCTCATTTGTCTCAAGCCACCATTTCAAGTACTGTTAAAAACAATAGTGGTCAGCAGAAATAGCTTAAAAAGCTTTTTTTGAATGAAACAGGTTTCATCCAAAATCTGAGTTTTACACAGTTGTATATACATCGTAAAACTAAGACCCCAGTAATTTACTCAGTGAGGGCTCTGATTAAATCCTTGTTATTTGCATTGTAGATGAACACAAATCAGTTCAACTTTTTTTAAAGTTGAAAATGACTTTGTGTACCTTTATTGCTGTACTATTTGGGCTATTTGATAGAATCACGTGAAGAAGAATCCAATGACTTTCCTCCAGAAGAAGGGAAGGGGGGGAAAAAGCAATCTGCCAAGCTGTTTAATTTCTTTTGACTAGCTCTTTCCAGCTCAGCCTCTAGCGGCTCTGCAGCTTATGTTCTGCCTCTTCTTAGTAATTTTCATCAAGACTGAAATCTAATTTCTTTATTGTGAAATGTTTTGCATTCAGGATGAGTAATGGGACTTGCCAAAACTGTGGGTTCTTGGTCTGTGGTGTGACTGGATTAGGCTGGTTCTGGTGGTGCTTCTTCCAGAGAGGTGCCTTGGGAACATGCTCCATTCTCATTGAATTGCGCTTTCCCCGTCGTGTGCAGGGAATACCTGTTCACTACCTAGTCAGCCAGATGAGAGGAAGGCCTTGAAGGCCCATAAGATGATATCTAGGAGTGGGCTACTGCCACCAGAGTGCTTGCTCATCAACATGAAGAGCTGCTGCTGCAGTGTCTGAGGAGCTCCTTGTAAAGGTGGCAACCACGATGGGGTGGATTGCCCCTGTGGCAGCAGCTTACTCCTACCTGCTGCGTTTCCTGAATGGAGTTGTCTTTTACAGATGCAATTCTTGTCTTTATTTTAGTCAGTTCCTGAGACAGGAAGGGGGACCAGGTATATGTCCATCTTCTGCTGGGGAGAAACTTGGTAGTTTAACTGACCAGAAAAACTGCATATTCCTGTTCTGTAAATCTTTAGAAGTCATTTATAAAGACATTTGTGATAACTACAGTGAGAAAGGCTTGCATTAATCTGAGGTTAATAAACTTCTATGAGCATTGGATCAGCTGTGCACTGAGGAAAAATCTTCCAGTGAAGAAGACTTTTTATTGAAAACACCTATGTCATCCGTTTACACTTGAGCTGGTTTTGTGGTTTGATGCAGCAGAGTGCGTGACAAATATCATTATACAGCAAAAAGTCACCAAAATAGAAACTGGACTGAAAGATCTAACTTTACCTTTGAGTAGCAGATACAGTCAGGGTTTTCCTTGTGATTTTAAATTACTTTGTTTCTTGCTATAGCACTGCTGTGGCATGCTGTAGCATAGAAGAGGAACTGTCAGATAGGAAATAAAAACAATTTGCAGTGGCAAATTTAGGAGTTTCAGGTTCTTTAGACAGTTGAAGATATATCTGTATTTGGGATAAAACTCAATCAAGCCAAAACTCTGACTATTCTGAGATCGAGCGATCTCCTAATATGTGGATACTAAATTGCATTACATAAATATCTTGCATATTACAAATATCTAGGTGACTTAGCAAATCTCTTCTGGAAAGTATTTCTGAAAGATGTAGCTTCACTGATGTTCTGGTGGTTTAGATCCAGTAAGATAATTATTAATAAAATACTAATTTTAGAATTTTGTTCAGTGTTGAATCTTATTCCTGATGTGTGTGCTTTTAATTCTTTTAGGAAATCTATCAGTGGTGTGGCTCATCATGCAATAAATACGAGCGGCTGAAGGCTACTCAAGTTGCTGTTGGCATTCGGGACAATGAACGAAATGGAAGGTCTAAATTAATTACCGTGGAAGAAGGCAGTGAACCAGACCGGCTCATAGAGGTATTGTAATATGCGTACCAGTTACTGACATAGCTGTGAATAAAATGCATTTATACCTCAGGAATTAAATAGGATTGGGCTCAAACTTTATGTTCTTCAAGGACTCCAGGAACTCAGATTTAGGTTATGGTAGGCCAGTTTACATTTCTTTTTCCTCCTTACTCAAGCAGTATTAAGTTTATTGGGAAGTAAAGTCTGAGATAATCAATCATCTGAGAATACTTTTTTAACTAAATATTTGCTTTTTTGAATTAGCTGTAGGGTGACTGAATTAACAGCAGAGCTCATATCTGAACCACACTATCTGCTGCTCTGTATGAGGAAAGAGCAGCATCGAGGTGGTCAGCACCAAACAAGAGGAAATACATGGAATTACTATGTCTAGGATGCCAACAAATGTAGCAAATTGCATGGAGATGCATGGGGCCAAGCACGCTGCTTTGCATCACCACTTCTATTACAAACTCTTATGCACCTAGACTCTAGTAACTCTAGTGAACCCCTTCCTCGTTTAGAAAGTTTAACCATTTATTCAAAAAACAGAATTCAGATTTCAGAAGTGAGCTGATCAAAGTAGAGTGAAAAAAAAAATTTCCCAACTTACGGAGTTTCAGATCTTGAAAAAATTATCAAGCACTGAGTTGTTAGAGGCCACGTACTAATAAAAGCATTGTTACTTGGCATTTGTGTGCTAAATTAAGCTTTTTCCGTTCATTCTCTAAAAAGAAGGAAGAGGGAAGCAGGGTTATAAAGCAGTGCTTCAATAAAATGGAAAACGTACAATTAAAATATTAACTTGTACTTCAGATTAACTTCAGGAAGTAACGCTAATGGTGCATGCAAGGTATGCCATTATTTTTGATGGTGCTTACATTCAGTTTTGTCACATGGAGTCTAACTAGTTATTGCCTAAGCAGCAAAACATGCCAGGTGCTGAGCCACCAGCCCTTCGCCATGCTAGCTGTGGTGATGCCTTTGGATGATCTGTCCATCTGTTTGCAAAGACTTTTGCTTATGGGTGTGAGTACAGATGTGGCTGGGCTCAGAAGTAGGGGAGGTGACACCCAGTGCACTGGAGATTTTTGAAGGGGGAAAAAAAAAAAATCCTCTATCTGGCTTTTTACTTCCTTGTACAGAATTCTCACATCAGCTCTGATGTGGCACATAATTTACACCTATAACTTTTATGAAAAGAGCACAGGTTGACAATTAGAGCCCAACCTCCTGCTCCTTACTTGAATCACGGTATTGGGTTGCAGCCTGCTGCGGGCCACGGCTGGGTGGCACCGTGGGAACCTGCTGGCACGGTCCTCTGGCAGCAGCCTCCTACTGCCAAGCCCATCCCGGGGTTACCGCTCAAGGCTCTTGCACGGGGTTTCCGATAAGCTCACGTGTGAGTTGGGAGCATTGATCAGAACAGCTGCACTTTGCACCTCTTATCCGACTAAGGTACAGATGCAGATGCAAAGTCAGACTTCTGTGCTGCGGCAGCAAGGACAAAGGCCCGCCGCAGGGATGGCTGTCAGGAGGCTGGCTGCCTCCTCCCCCTGACAGGCTGTGAGCGGCGGGGATATGCTGGCCTCGCCCCGTATCTGTTTGCCAGACTTTTTCAGCTGTGTGTAACTGTTGTTTTGTAGCAACCTTGACACATGATTAAGAGCAGGAAAAACGCCAAGGCTGCATTTTGATTCTGTAGTGCATTGTTATTGTATCAGGGAATAAATCTTTTCTTCATTTGCTCAGCAGTGTGTGAAGAAGTTTCTGCTTTTCCTTTTGGATTGTGAATATAGAGGGAAGAAAAATGGGTAGTTCAAAGCAAGTAGGTTCATGGCTTTTATTGCCACCACTGTAATGAGCCTGATGTGAGTGAGTTTGTCAGCAGCCAGGGCTTACCTTCTAGCCTGCATCATGATGGGTAGCCTTGCTTTTGGAAGTGCTGCTCACATAACAGGGTCTGCAGCTCAGCCGTGGCTGTACCAGTCCAAGCTCTGAAATGTGCTGCTGATAAGCCACGAGGATAGTTAACCTCACAAACATGTAAAAGCTATTAATCCCTATTCCTGCTCAAATTGTGTCCAGTTCCTGGTGTTCTTCGTTTTGATATCTTCTTGCTGCCACAAAATTGTCTCTAACTTGCTGTAGCACTTGCCCAGGCTGACTGCTCTGAAACTAACATTGTGCTTGTTTCTTCCCTCTGCATCAGGAAGGATGGATTTTTGCTATCTCCAGCTTTCTTAGAAAAAGGTTGATTTATTTTCTAGTGAAAAGAATTATGTACTTTTAATATTCATTTTGTCACCTGGTATGTCACTGAAATCAGAATGAGATTTCCTAAAATTATCTCCTCTGATAAATGTCAGGAATGAATTTCCCTCCCATGAGCTAGAAATACATCTGCTGCCGTATCAGTGGCTTAACTTGCTTGTGCAGCGCTGCTAGAAAAGCGTTCACCAGGCAGGGGCTGACATACCCACCACGAGTACCAACGTAAAGAGCCGGTAGTGATCTTATTCCTGCTCCGTAAACACAGTCATGACTCCCAGCCAGTAAAGCAAGACTGCTGTGCCTACACCCCACCACTGAGGCAAGACACACAGGCTGATTCAACAAACCCTGCCAGACTTCTCCTCTCCTGCTATGGGATTAGCAGTGGCTGCAGTGGTCGTGCTGGGCTGGTGTTCCGTGGCTAGCCCGCATTCCCCTTGGGACCTGGGGAGCTGCTGGTGAGGTGAACTAGTCTGACAAGGGCAATTGTCTGCTCCCAACTACCATTTTTAGCAAGGACCTGGGAACAGGATGGCACTGCTTGAGTAATTTGCCCATGGGAGAGAGCTGTCTGGAGCATGCTATAGGGCTGGATGAATTGCTGTGGCAGGCCAGCATGATACAGTTTACTCGCCCTAGGAAAGGAGAGTGGCTAGAAGCTGGGTACGTGAGTAGTTTTGACAGGGGCAAGCCCTTTTTTCATCTGCTGTAGTGACCAGGGGCCACTTGGGAACACGCAGTGACCGTCCTGTGTTCGTGCTCCAGAAACGCAGCATGTCTGGAAAGCTCAGACCTGCAGTGGGTGCACAGAAGGTCTCATAAGATGCTGCAGGAATCACTAGAACTCTTCGACTGCGAAGATGAGGCAGAAACTTTCTGTGCAAGCACGTCAAAGGTATTTAATCTACCTAGTTTCACCTCTGTGTTTGCACTTTAGGTGAGGTACTGACTGGCAGGTTTAAATAAGCAGTTCTGTATAGGGCTGCTGCCTTGGAAATTTAAAAAAATAAACTGACCACCATGGACAAATTGCTGCTGTTGCTGCTCAGTAACTGTGACTGGCCCCCACAGTCGCAGTTGCCCATAGTAAAATTCACCAGATGCCAACTCTGCTCTGATTTTCACACGTAAACAGCTGAATAGAGTTACTCATTCTGCTGAATCTTAGGCCTGAATGTTCAAATTGTGTTACAGGAAGTTTTTGATCTGCATGGGACCTACCCAAAAATAGGCTTTAGCAATGCTTGAGTCAGTTTGGTCGCTCTAGAGTGACCACGTTAGGGTTAGAGCTAACTACACGTCTTTTTTTTCCTTTAACCAAAAGGAACACTAAATACATGGTTTCAAAGCTAACCTAGGACCAAAATCTTTTAGGATCAGTTGTTAGCCCTGTCGGAAACCCCCTTGGGCTGACTGCACCGACACTGATGCTTGTCCTTCTGACTGCTTGCAATGGTAAGTTTTCTAGTCATTCAGCAAGATGAAGCTGATTGCAGTAATGCAGGAAACACAGAAATTCAGTTCTGAGTCACCCAAGGGAAAGATGCAAAGCACCCAATCCTCCACGTGTAGGCACCAACACCTTGATCTGGTATCATACCTCTAGAAATAAAGTAGGGAGAGGAAGAGAAAGTCTTAGTATATTTGTTTTACTATATTTGCGTAATTTGAAATACTAGATACTAGTATTTTTAGATTGACAGTGCTGTTCTGACTACATAAGACTCATCTCCCCATGATAGATTTTAAGTATCTCAGGCAGCTGTGACGGTCTGCAGGGTATAAGAGCCAATGAAAAAGTAAGCTAAACAGAGTTTTAACTAAACTAGGTATTGACCCTGCATCTGTCCCTTCTATTTAATCATGAAGTGTTCAGCTAACACTTTTCAGGATGGCTCTTGTTTTCTATGCAGTCAAAACTGACTGCTTCTCAGGACTGTTCTATTGTTTCCCCACAAATGACTCCCTTAAAACTGCAGCTTTTGGTAGCCTGTGATTGCTGCAGTTTTTACTGCTGAGGCTTTTGGCCTTTGTTTCATTTTTGTAGAGGTTTTTGATGTCATGGCTGAAACAATAAAGCCTGAGAAACATGACTGCTGAAGTCTAAAACCACAAGAAAATGAAGGATCGTGTTAGTATGCATCTTTGAAATTACTCTTCTGCCTTTAAGCAAAAAATGCCACGACTTTTGTTTACTCAGCATTTGCAGTTGTCGTGTGCCTGGTTTTGTTAGAGTTCTAGTGGCCTTACAACAGATGAGTGCAAACTCAATTCTCATAAAATACTTGTGTAAATATTTAGCTAGTTCAAATAGTAAGCAACAGAGGGAACCTCTTCCTCCTTTCTGGTAACGCAGCCTTTCTCCTCCCTCCTTTTTCTTTCAAGCTCCTAAGAAATGCTTAATCTTGAGAATTCCTGGATGCCATTGTGTTCGGTGATGATTGTTTTTGCCTCTGGTGTGAATAAACACTATGCACGGAGGTATGGGAATGGTTTGATCATATTACAGCCAGTCACACCTTTCTACCTCTGTAACTGGAAAGGGACTGATGGCACTACACAGTGCTAACTCAGTCATGTGGATAAAATCTCAAAAGCACAGGAAATAAGAGCCCATTGCAAATGCAAGTTACAGACTGCTTCTCTAGAGACCCAAATAATGCAAATATCACCACAACATCAAGCTCCACTAAACCTTAAATTAGCTGGGTAAGTGTCTGGGCGTATGGACAGAA